AATTCCTTCCTCTGTATTGGTGGTAGTGTCAGTATTAAAACTGGTCCCAGGAGATTTCTGTCGCTCTCTGGAGTGTGCGATGGTGAATCACAGGAAATATGGTGATAGTCTTCTGAACAGGTTGTCGCAGCAATAAAGAAAAAAGGTGGAGAGCAATATTCCCTGAGGACTGAGGTAAAATTAGCAAGAGATTAGTTTCCAGTGGTTGTTTAAGCAAAGAAATGATTTATGTTCTTTTACAGCAGACTTCCAACATGTAAGTGACAGTCTCTCTCTGCTGGGATCTGAGGAAATACAGAGTTTATACAACAGACAAAAAATAAACTAGAAGCAGTCCCACTAATGTAGAAACTGCTGACCCAAAAACAAACATGTGGTTCACGCTGCTGATTGATGAACTCTTAGATCCATTCCTCACAACATTAAATAAAGTTAAAACACAAACTTTCCAGAACTTATATGGGTTATTGCACTGCTCCACATTACAAGGGAGAAGACCATCCACTTGAAGAATTCCAAATCTAATAATCCGAACACCAAATTGGCGGATGTATGGCACATTTCTCAGACCTCCACGGAAACAGCCAATCATCCGCTGAACCGGGACACAAAGAACAGCAGTTAAATGGTTGCACTGACACACAGTTGAAGTTCAGCTGAGAGTGGCAGTGTGATATGAAAGACTGTGAATGAACAGAAGAGAATAAGAAAGAAGAGGAGGGTATCAACAAACACTTGTGTGATGCTTCGACTGTATTTGTAAAAAACAGGAACTCTGGTGTTTGTTCATGAGCTCTGGTGGGATGAGCTGACAGCGTCACGATTGATTCCAGATGATTGTTTACTCCTCTCTCACCACATATTTAAACATTAGGTCTTAAATACAGATGCTCATTCAAGTGGCAAGACTTGCTGTTAAGAATATCTGAATCTTGAATGTATGTTTTCTGTCATGATTGGTTGATACGGCCACATTTGTCAATGTTGGTCTGGAGGCTAAAACTACACAGTGCAACACATTCAGACAACAGAGGATTTAATTTAAGTTAAAACTGTAAAATAAATACTCACTAGTTTTTGTTTGATTGGCGTGAGATTGTTCGGAGCTCACACTGAATTTTAACTTAAAATGCCTGATTCATTGATTCACTAACAAAGGTCCATCTATGTTGTCTAGGATATTGACAAAAAAACTTGTAAATTGTAATTGAACTTGTAATCGTACCTTTAATTTGAAAGCAAGAGAAAGAATGAGATGTTGCGTACACCATCAAACCAGGAAAAAAATCACTATAGTCCTTATTTTGACAATATAACAGCCTGAGCTGACAGGTTGGTGATGTCTGGACACACACATCCAGTCTGATCACTTGCAGACAGTCTGACTCTGAGACAAACACCAGATACATAAAACTGTTACTGATGACTAATTCTGGGTATGTGCCCAAAGACAGAAACATGCATTTATATTATTGTCATCTTATCTTACACGCACACACACTCACACACACACAAACACACACGTTGATCCCTTGAACTTCTGTTCTTTCTCATATGTGTGAGTCTTTTTTAGTCCCGACCTAATGCATTATAAATTACAGTCTTGGTGCAGAGAGATGTGTGATGGATGTATGACAGCCAGAGGACCTGCACCCCCCTGGTGTGGGCATGTGTGTAGGTGTGAGATAGACAGAGAGATAGACAGAGAGAGAAAGAGAGAGGGGAAGAGGTGGAGGAAGGTGGACCGTCATCAGCACCCATCCCATGCAATGTTTCATCAACTGGTTTCTAAGTTACAGAAGTGCAGTTCATGGGTGAACCTGAGCATCAGTGCTGCAGAACAATGTTTCTCAAGCTCTGTTTTATCAACAAGAGCAAACTAAAGTATTTCAGCCAATGCACAATACAAGCCCTTAAGGCAGAATGTTACATGTTATATGTGTTATCAAGTTATGAATATATGACTTTCACCAAGACTAGTAGGTTTTTGTAATAGATCTGGCCTCCGCAACATTTTGCTCATACAGTCTGGGTGTTACACAAGGAATAACCTTTAGTACAGGAGAGCAAACAGCTCTCTCATCCTGCACAGCTTAAGCTAGCATGGCTAGTGTCGTTAGAATATGCTGTTCTGTGTACAGGTGTGTTTATAGTACTGTTTATAGTATTTTGTGCTCTGAAAGACATCAGACTGCGGAGAAGGAGCAAAAATCGTGTGTCCCTGTAAGGTTGACAGAAGCGGTTATGGTCCAAATACTGAGACAAACCCAGTTACGCAGTCCAAGCATATTTATTTTTACAGTTGCAACTAAATTCCCTGTGCAGCAGGCTTGTCTCTATTCCAGCTAAGATCTCAACTCCCCCTCAGGACCTCAAGCCTCCTCCTTTATACCGGCTGGGTCCTACCAAGAAACATGGATTAATATTTAATAATACATTTTCTAAAAGGGAGATTACACTTGGTACACTACTGTATAACAAAACATAACAAACACACTAGGTCCATATTAGTTAAAAACAAATTAAAACTGCATTTTTCTTATGACACACTCAACACCCCTCCAACTCTTCCATACTTGGTGCCTTCCCCTGGAAACCCCTGTTCATAAGCCAATGGTACCCTCCAGCTCAGTTTCAGCAGAGCACATGTACAGAGAGGAAACAGGTGACAAACATTTCATTGTCTTTGTTAAACACTTTTTGAAAACATGTAATGATTAATGTCACCAAAAATACATTACATGCATTCTTTGACCCGTAAATATATCTTGCTTTGTCAGTGGGTCTGACATTAACAAACAAATTGTTACGCTAATACAGACGCCTCAACAACAACAGCTGACACCGGTTCTGATATGTCTGAGTATAAAGTATTCTCTGTGCCTCTCTGGCAGATCATCTGTTCACCCTCATGCATTTACCTCGTGGTTCTGTTCAGTCTTGTTCCTCCTGTGTTCTATCCCCTCAAAGAATGTAAGTCATTGTTTTGTGTTTCTTTATGAAATTCACTTTCACCAGCCTTTGCTTCTGTGCCTGCGTTTGGGTCCTGCTTTGTAATCAGTAACAGTGTGTTGTGTTCTCACTTCCTCTGAGCATGACGTCCTGGCACCATCATAAACACCACCCCTCAAAATCTGTTCTTTAAAGTCAAGATTGAAAAACATTTTTTTCACTACAGCCAGAAGGACCGTGGACTCTAACATGCACTTTTAATCCGTGTACTGTTATTTGACTGTATTGATATTGTCCTGTCCATATATTGTCTTGTATCATGGACAATGACTTCATTATTTTTTATGTTGGTATGAGCTGTTCAATGCTGTACTGAAAACAATTCCACTAACTTGGTTGTGTTGTCATAAGTTATGAGTCTTCCACACACAAAATGCTTTTCATAAAAGAGAAATGTGCACTGAAAATCACATGCACGCGTATGCACAGATTCCTAGAGCCAGCTGCCACTGAAATGTTGAAGTTAAATACAAAATATAAAACCCCAAAGCTGTGTGTAACTTATGTGTTTTTTTTAGATTTCTTTAATACACAGTATCATTACATTTTAGGTGGAGTCAGATTATGTTTGTGCCCTTGTGATGGTGGTTTAGTGAATCATCAGATGGGAGGGGCTGTCCATTGGAGTTTTTGTATGTGTTTGGCTGTTGAGGCTGCCAAACCAAACTTATATGGATGAGATGAGTATGTTGTCAATGATGGTGGGGGAAGAGAATTTGTTTGACTTTGAATTTTTTTTGTCTTTTAGTAATGTGGCCTTTGTTGGGTGCTGTGTTTGAATGTTAATGATGTCAGTTGATCAGAAGTTTTGGGCGAGGG